AATTGACAGTCGTTTCAATCGCAAAATAATATATTGTTGATTTTGAGTTCAATTCAGAAAGGATTTGAATTTCAAGACTCATTCAATTTTGGTATCGGTATGCCATGAATAAGCGGAACCGCATTGGCAGCTCTCAGAACCCAGGCTCGCCAGGTACGGGTGGGTATGCGCTCCAGAAATGATATACCGAGGTGAGCTTGTGACGGTCAGTTGAAATGCTTAAGGTATTTCATCTTTTGAGAATCTCTCTCCTTTTATCCTTTTCTCCCTCATTATGGTATATTGATTTGCATTGTAATACTTTTAATTATGGCCTCAAACTTAAAAGGACGTGGTAGTCAAGCTACACCTGCAGAGATATCATTAATTCATCTAAAGAATTGCTTGGTTAACTTGCCTTCATCGTTATCTTCATTACTAGTTAATATCAATGCTGTAAGTCGCACCGAATCTACCTCATAATCATACGCTCACATTCCGTAGCTTGCACAAAATGTGATTGTAGAGTTGAACTACCGACTTCCACCTCCGCAGAGCCCAAATCAAACGAATGGCGCCCCGACTCAACGATCCATCTTCGTGGGATGGACGGGTATGCAGAGCAAGCGCAAGCTTGCACCAATTGTTGGGAGGGATGGGATAAGTGGCACTAGAGGATCTGGCAGAGAGCAAGAAGTCCAGGTTGTAGAGATAGATGCAACTTTTGCGCGAACATTGGGAATATCAGATGGACAGAAAATTACAGCGACTATACACGTCGACCCTCCTGTCGCCCATACAATTAATATTGAGCCTTTGACGCCAGAAGATTGGGAAATTATAGAATTGCATGCAAATTTTCTCGAACTCAATTTCATCAATCAGATTCGCGCATTGCCAAATCCAAGCTTTACTTCACCGAGTGGTTCATCGCACCTGCCGCATCCTCTTACGTTACACCTTTCACCAACCTCGACTGCCAATATTATAGTCACGTCCCTCCTTCCTGCTCCGCCATCAAATATTGCGTTCACAAAACTAGCACCAGATGCAGAAGTTATTGTAGCCCCGAAAACAAGGTCGAAACCATCACGAAGTATGGGCGAAAATATGAGTGTATCTTCAAGGAAAAGTGTTGGCGGACGAAGTGTTTCTAGTACGGTGCGTCGGAAAAGTGGACGAAGTGAAGAAACGAAGCCGGCTATGTATTATAGAGGAATTGACAGGGCACTTTGTGGGGAGTGGTTTGAAGAAGAGAAAGATGCAAATGATGGAGGATTGAAAATTTGGGTTGACGGAGACTTCATTCTCGGTGACTCCTTGAAAGGGCTCACTTGGGTCACCGTTACCGTTGTCAAGCCTGCTACTTTACAGGAGCCAATCGACCCACAACGACAACAACAAGAAGATGAAAATACCGGCGTTGCCGGGAAGCCTGCATCGAAGGTAGTAGCTAGATTGATGACATGGGATGAACCGCCAGACCAATACCATGTGGCCCTATCGAGTTCACTTTGTGCCTCTATGGGGTGTAAAAATATGGTTGGAGGTGTGATAAGGGTTGCGCCTGCCCCATCCCAAGCTTCAAAGCCAACTTTTCAACCCACTTCTAAATCCGGTACTCCACACATCAAGATATTTCCCTATACTTCCAGTACGGGAAAAGCGAGTGAAGGTCTCAAATTTGGTGGAGAATCGAAAGCTGAGCGGGAAGAAGCTGCAAAATCAATCATGAAAATGTACAGCAAGAATGGTTCCAACAGCGGCATTTTTGAAGGGCCATTGACTGATGGCTTAGTACTCGGCAAGCCATCAGGTTCTGAATTCCCATCAAGTTGGGAAGGTGGAATGATTCGTCTGGAGCAAGGACCACAAGAGTCAGGGAAGCAGCCTTGTAATTGGTTTCTTGGTTCGGAAAAGAAATTCAGTCTTGAGGTTCAAGCCGCGATTCCAAGACCCTTAACCCTTGCAGCAAATGCGATCGATGGTCTTGGTGCAAAAGCTCCTGTTCTTGTGGGAATTGATAACCTCATAGAACAACTACACTCACACCTTTCGCACTTGTCTTCCGTATTACTCACTGGTGCTTTGGGGTCTGGCAAAACAGCAGTAATTCAACACTTGGCACATCGTTTACGGCAAGATAGCAGATATCACACCACATATCTTTCATGTCGAAAATTTGTTACAGATGAGGCACGTGTCTCAACCATACGTGAAACATTTGATCGGATTTTTTTGGCTGCCTCATGGGGTGCAAGAATCGGTGGAAAGTCCATTGTGATATTGGATGATCTTGACAAATTGTGTCCCGCAGAAACAGAGCTTGAAGTAGGCAATGATAACCTTCGAAGTGATTTAATTAGCGAGAAGATAATTGCAATTGCTAGAGAATACTTAATTGGGCATCGCAGTAACGTTGTTCTACTTGCCACCGCTCAAGCGAAAGAGTCACTTCACAAAAATATCATCGGTTGTCATTGCGTGCGAGAGATTGTCGCCTTGAAAGCTCCAAACAAAGAAGGACGAAGAAGAGTTATGGAAAAGGTTGCTTTGGAAAATGCCATCTCAGAAATAACGACAAAACCAGTGGCATCTGGTAGCCGCCCAAGCACAGCTGATAATAGCGAGAAGTACAATGATGCTGACTGGATGGGTGGTTCGAGTATGGAAGGTACCAAGAAATCTGAAGGCGATGGTTATGTCATTGATCAAGATCTCGATTTCTTAGACCTAGCTGGTCAAACTGATGGTTACATGCCTGGAGACCTCGTCCTTCTCGTAGCACGAGCTAGGAGCGAAGCAATGATTCGGACAGTTTCAAGCTCCCTACAAAACGCCGATAGTGGTTCTATTCGACTCACCCGAGAAGATTTTGACAGTGCTTTGAAAGGATTCACGCCAGCGTCGCTTCGGAATGTCACTCTTCAGACTTCCACTACAACTTTTGACTCGATCGGAGGATTACAGGAGACACGAAAAATTCTACTCGAGACATTACAATACCCTACTACTTATGCGCCAATTTTTGCACAATGTCCACTGCGATTGCGATCGGGACTACTTTTGTATGGATTCCCAGGTTGTGGTAAAACTCTTCTTGCAAGTGCAGTCGCAGGAGAATGTGGTTTGAATTTCATCAGTGTCAAAGGACCCGAGATTCTCAACAAATATATCGGTGCTTCCGAAAAGTCTGTTCGCGATCTCTTCGAGCGAGCTGAAGCTGCTAGACCTTGTGTACTATTCTTCGACGAGTTCGATTCTATAGCTCCTAAGCGTGGTCATGATTCTACTGGTGTAACTGATCGGGTAGTCAATCAATTGTTGACACAAATGGATGGTGCTGAAGGTTTATCCGGAGTTTATGTACTTGCAGCTACTTCGAGACCAGATTTAATTGATCCGGCATTACTCCGTCCAGGTCGCTTGGACAAGTCCCTTATATGTGATCTTCCAAATGTGGATGATCGTTTTGATATTCTCAAGGCACTAGGCAAAAAGCTGAAATTGTCCGAAGAAGTCCGAGATAGTCCTGAAGGTGGGCTGTTTGAGATTGCTCGTAGGACTGAAGGCTATTCCGGTGCAGATCTCCAGGCTTTGATATCCAATGCGCAACTTGAAGCCATTCATGACGTACTTGGCGATCATGAACAAGTTGAAGTTGGTGGCAAACGTAATGGTGCAAAGACAAATGGGGCATCCAGCGGACCTCGAAGCTTTGTGCAGTTCCGCTATGGTGAAGATGAAGATCGGACAGAAGCCGAGACACGTGCAAAAGCTGGTAACAATCGCTCCAAACAACTTGCTGAGAAAGCTGCCATTACCGCCAAGTTAGAAGAGATCAAAAAGGCAAAGAAGAAGGAGAAACTGAGAGCAAAGGGTATTGATGTTTCGAGCGAAGACAGAGGAGAGCAGAAAGAGGTTAAGAGTCAACAAGAAGTCACGATTCTCTGGAAGCATTTAGTAAAGAGCTTGGAGGGTACAAGACCAAGTATTAGTGCCGACGAGCGAAGGAGATTACAGGGAATATATAGGGAGTTTGTTGTGGGAAGGAGTGGGGATATGCCGAATGGACAAGGGGGAACGGAGGTTGGTGGGAGGTCGAGTTTAATGTAGGGTAGAATATGGTATGGTCAGGAATCTCAATAATCTGGACTGCAGTCTGAAAATTTAAGGCATATGCTTTCCGAATCTAATAAATCTATTTCTAACATTGAACTACTTCCAGAAATTCAAAACTTATATCTAGTCCTCTAGTCTAGACTATTGGACACCTTAAGTATGCGCGCGGGAAAGTAGGAGCTATTGAGATTGAGGTCGTTTTCTCTTTGATCTGTGGTAAACTTGGTACAGTATAGCAGACTGTTATATTTCAAATCGCACCTACCTGGCGTGGGTAGCTAGCATAGGTAGGAAGTATCTAGAATGGCTGATCCCTCTCTCACCTGCTCGCGGCTTCTTAATAAATCGAGCTTCTTGCACTCATTGATTTTAACATAAAAGTGTGAAGATGCCACAATGCAGTTGCAAGTGCACATTAAACTTTGAAAGATTGTAGTATTGCATCTGTGCTATCTTCATTTTGAGCAGTCACTGTGAGAAGCAGTAGCTTCCACATGTTTATGGTACCCAAATAATTCACACATTCATTGTCAGCATATTATCAGTGATGATTTGGGCTACATGAGTACTGAAATCCGCCTTCTGGCCTCTGCAGTGAGGTGAATGGTAAGCTCCTCTTACACATGTCCCAATTTGACATTCAATCCATTCCCTTGCCTAAAAGAAGCCCTACTTGTCATTATCAAGAAATGATAACCTATTCTCTGAGGACCACGTGATTGAAGGTGCCGTAGGAGCACTGCCGTACGAGCTGGCATTTCGGCTCTCTCACATACGATTATCACTACAGCGATATAAATAGGCACTTTATGTAGACCAGATCTACTTTTCGCAACCTCATTCCCAAGCTGAATTACCATCTTGAACGAAAATCATCAGCGCTGTGCCAAGCCACAACAATGGCGCCTCCTAACCCCAACCATCTTGGAGTGATTCTCAAAGCCTCAGCAAAAGCAAGCCCAGCTGTAACTCTATGGTGTATCGCGGGAGCATGGGGTGAGCTACTTGAGGAAGCAATACAAAACATCAACCCATTCGACAAAGCAAACCAAGCTCAAGTCCGCGCACAAATCAAAGGGGACCATCAGGGCGAGGTAGTTTGGATAGTGATGGATCCGGATAATCTGGCTCATCGTCGAGCTGTCGCATATGCGTTTTCTCAAGGCAAATATGGAACTACACCTCCAAATGTTGATTTTGAGAATATGTATAGTCAGGATATGGCGCTGATGGCATTTTACAAATGTAAACGGGCTGTGAAGTATGAACATTATGTGTGTAAGATGAGATGTCTAGGGAGGGAACCGCGACTCTCGAACTACAGTATTTTACCCCGGAACGATGAGATTCCAAGTACTATGCATGGACTTGGTGCAGGTACTTACGGAGATTTTTTGAGAAAGGCATTGCGAAATTTTGATTACAAAGATGGTGCCAATTGTCGTAGTGCAAATGCAATCATGTTGATTTGGCTGGCCAGACGAAGATTATATCATTGGTATTCGCTGCAGGAAGCGGTTGAATATAGTGTATTGGAAGATGAGGCTTTCTTTCAGCCAAGAAGACCTTTTTGGAGTTACTTTCAGATGTTTGGTTCGGCGATGGGGGGGGAATGGGAATGAGAGATGCGACTGCTGGAGATACTTACTATCCGAGGTGGCTCGGTGGGTGAGAATGAGATTTAATAAGGAGGTGTACATGACCAATTGGTTAGGAAAGAGAAACGGGGTTGATGGTGGTCGTCAAACAGCCGAGATGTAGGATCATGGTTTAGTCGAGAGTGGTCAGGGAGGGCTGGGTTCTTGCACGTTAACACTCGCTTTTTCTACTTACTTTTCAACACTCAATATATGGCATCAGTTTGTAGCTTTTTGTTCAAAACTGGACTTTAGTAACAATAAGTTGGCATAGCTAATCATCAACTATAAATAAGATTTGCATCGAACGTCATCATAAACTAATAACCCATCGTTTGGCTGCATATGCTTCTCAGACGTTTCTCGTGCATTGATGTATAGAATGGTTGGAAAATAAACAAAAGATCATCAGTCCATCTTCCACCAGCAGATTGCTTGCACAGGTGGCTATGTTCGTTTAGGGAGTACCATAACGACCAAGAGTTAGGGCCAGTGGTTCTTCATCCATCATGAATCATACGCGTATATTTGGTCTTGACCTCACAGAGGCTAGAATTAAGTAACAGAACAGATGAAATTCATTTTTGATGCTTGAATTATTGTTTTTATATTACAGTCGAAGAGGAGGGAGCATCCAGTGCTATCAAAATACCCCTACCAACTTGCAGATACGTTCATACCCTCTGAAGAAATTCTCTCAGCCCACATGCGAAGTCGGACGAATGTATGCCAGCATACCCGCTAAAAGCCCATTTCGTCCATTGAATCTCCCACAATCCCCATCGCAATGTGTCTACCCCCAGCGAGCACCCCCCAGCGAGCCTTGTTTGTGTTATGAACTCGGGTATCACAGACTCCCTTCAATTCGAAGGTATCCCAGGCGCATAAAGAAATGGAGTGATGGTATTGCGCAAACTCGAAACTCATTTCTTTCCTGAAATGTAGCCTCGCTTCTGCCATAGAAGAGCCCGAGCATTCGCACAACTTTCCGTGTGATTGAAATGTTCATCTATCGTTCGAACTGGGGAATTTAGCGTTCCATCTACAATCTTTCTTACTGAATCGTCTTCAAAATGTGGTTTCATCACGCGTGTTTCCCAAAATTTATGCCGATAAGTGGGCCACGTCTTTGACCACAAAGTAATGCATGGTCTACAATAGTACCCTCTCATGTAACGGTGCGATTCAGAATCTCTTAGCAATGGGATCCTGACGGCTACTGCATAAGTGGGTTGAGAACGCTGATCTGGTTCCCAATTTCGGCTGTGTTGGGAAGGTTGAGATTGATCCCCGGAAGCAGTATGGTATCGTCTTGTTTTATATCTTCTTCTGCTGCACATATCGACAACTTTCTGGGCGCTGAAACATTCGACTACCTCTGTCGTTCTAGTTGGAGTTCCGAGACAAAACATCTTCGCGAAAACAGATGGCAGGCCTCTGATGGAAGATGAACCGAAGCATTCAATTGCTTGAGTTTTGCGTATGAGAGAAAACTCTGGTTCAGTAGACAAGCAGAAGAAACAGCACCGACTACCAGTCAAGGGAAAAATAAGAACCGAAGATTAAACAGAAATTGCAGGAGGATGAGCTTAATACACGAGCTATAGTTGCTCCCGAGTGGACATGAATTAATCCCAGTTCAGCGATAGCCTTCAGGAAACTAGAGGCTTTTAACGTGATTTCAGTAAAGGGAAACACGGAGTCGACGGTGGTCTTCGCTGCGCAGCTTGCTTGACTAAATGTTACTATGCTTTCGAAATCGAGGTTCTTGCATATCTCTTGTTGTATCTCAAGTGGAAAGGCGTCGAATGCGCCAGCAGATGATTGTCTCTCGGTTATTGGTTGTTTGGTGATAGTCTTGACGGATGGGAGTTTTTCGACTGTCACTGTTCCCCTTATATCGTGCTCAATTGTCCTAGTAGAGAGTACTTCGAAGCGCCGATCTAACTCCTCTTTGTTGCCTTGAGCGTTCATGGTCGTGAGATTTTGAGGGACTTGTATGCTATGATGAAATTAGATTGTAGAATTGACGAGAAAGAATCAAATTTCAACTTATTCACGTTCTCGGGTGTATAGGCGATTGTATTGATTCCCATAACATCCAAGGGTTCGTAATTGTGCAAGGATCAAGCCTCGCTAGCAAAATATTTATTGATTGAACTTTTATTATATCATATTCATTCAGATTGGGTGTTTTAAGATACGGTTTTTGCCGTGTTAGCTCCTCTTATTCAGCTTGTGACATGGAAGAAAGAGGATGCCGTCTCTCAATTTCAATAAATCTATACTTGGCAATGCACTTGGAGTCTCCAACACTCCAAAAATTCCAGAACCCTTAAGCCTTCAGCAGAAACTTCAAGTTTCTGGAATGCTTCAAAACAGATTGTTCAGATGGTTTGAACGACGGAACTTGCCAAGAACTTTGATTCATTGTATTTGCTTTTCTAAGAGTTTGGTGCACCAGTGTACAAGATAGCACCATTCACTTCAAACTCCTCGACAACCTTCTGTCCACCGTCCCTTGCTATCATCCAATCTGCAAATTTATGAGCCATGACTATGTTTTTCCCTCTCGTGCCTACTAATATATGTGCAGGATTCAATAATGGATCATCTGGGGCATCTGTGCTCGCTTTCTACACAATACATTAGCTCAATACACATCGTGGAGATGAAACCGTAGCATACAAAAATACTCATCTTGTCTCTAACTTCTTCTTCAATACTTAACCATGTACCCTTATCAGTAATTGTGTACTCGCCTAAGACGCATGCAGCCCTCAACGCAGCAAATGGAAACTCTATGTAGCGATGATACCAACTTGAATATGGATGTGCCCACGGAGTTTGACCGATAGCTGTCCAAATAGAAGATTCTTTGATATTGGCGGCGGATTTATCGTATCGGGATAAGAATCTAATGTTTGGATTTTCTACACAAGCCATGAATAATTGACCGAATAGATCAAATATTGTAGAGCTGTCTGTACTATCAAGTGGAAGCCTGGCAGGGTTTTGTTTCGGTCCTAGAAATAATCAGAACGGGATAGATCATTTCAAACGGAGCTTGGATATGGTCATCAAGACGAGACAGTAAGCATAATAGTCACACATAATCAGCAAACAACCTACCAACAAGCAACCAATGATCTCTCCAAGCATACTCCCTCCTCTCTGCAATTCCCTGCTTTAAAGCTATCTCCTCTGCAGTCTTATGATAAGTGATGCTACAATCCGCCGCTCTACTTCCTAAATAGTTGAAACTTGCAGACGTATCTGATAATAACCATGCGATACTGAATCGTGGACAACCTGTTCTGTCTATCTCGAACTCGATAAACTCATTGGCAAGAGCGCGAATAAGTCCAGATTGTCCAGCTCCTCCAGTTGCTATGCGGAGAGTTATTGGTGGGGTGGATGTTGGAGTATCTGGACTGGAATTGCTGCTAATATTGAACGAGAGACCGCTGTAGATCTCAGCGGGAGTGATGTAGGGTTCGGGAGAACTGAGGTCCACTTTTGTAGATGCCATTTTCTGAACTAGTCAGAAGTGGATTGGCAACGTTTTTATATTAGTTTGCTTATCTAAATGAATGAATCTGGTAATTGGCTCAGCATGCCTACATAAAGCAGATGATTGTATGAATGGCTCTCAGATAGCGAAATTAAAGGATAAGTCCAGAAGCAAAAAAGGGAAGCATCTTGTTTCAAGCAAATGCAGATAGTACAGCTGTGATCATTTATGTATCTTGAGTCCGCAATCCTCAATGTTGATAATGCGAGCTACGCGTGGGGGTCAGAGGCGGGGTACACCTCATATTAGCGATCAATTGCCTAATTGTCATAAATCCCGGTAGCACTTGCTCTTCCTGGTATTTCATGCATAGATTAGACCTCAAAAACACCCTGCACGATTACCACTGCATAACTGCAAAAAAATAAAAAAATCGTGAAAACTGCTAATGAGGTATGCTATTGGGTATCTGTAATAATTATGAAAATCACCATTCTCGTTGCCTACCCAAGACTTCGAGTCGTTTTGCGAATAATGGCCAAATGTGCCTCAAATCTACCAAACATAGCCTCAGACGCCTACTATTATGATTCTCCTAATGATCCACCGATGCCAGATAAAATGTTATCCACACCCCCGACTTTATCTCCCAACTTTTGTTTCGTTGCTCTATATTTAACTTGCCATCTCCTTTCCTTCAAAACCCAGAGTTCTGACTTCTTTCCCGAAACAAAGACTATGAGTACCTGTCGTCCTCAATACTGCATTCTAGATCATCGCCTCGTGATAACGAATCACCATTCTCCCCTATATCTATCGCGTCAATCGAAACAGAGAGATTGCCAAGTCCTTGAGCTTGCCTCGAAGCAATGTACTCATCAACGGCCTTTTCCGAGATGCCATTAGCAGGTTCCCACGTCGGGTCCCAATCTCCATCCCAATTAACAAGATACCATACTTCTTGCTTCTTGTCACCGTCATTCCATTCGTACTTGTGATCCAAGATTGATTTTACATCCCATGTTGGCGGTTCGCCGCCAAAAGCTTCTCGTGAGTCTTTCTGTTCGCCTTCGTCTTCATCCAAATCTTCAATCGCATCCTCATTCTCATCCTGTGGCTCCATCCTATTACCAGGAGAAGATTCAAGCCGTCGACTTCTACTTCTAGAGCTACGAAGATTGAAAGCATCGCTTCCACGCCGTGCACTTGATCTTGGCTCGAAGCTTGTTTCATAATTCTCCATGGTGGGTGATCCAGACCTCTTTTTCGAAGTTTCCTTGTATTCGGCATCATAATACTCATCGGAGACCTTTCCAAGTCTTCGCGTTTTACTTCGGGACTTTCCACTTGACCCACCTTCTCGCCCTATAAATGGAGAAGATTTGCGCTTCAAACTAGACGAAGGCTCGTAATTTCGATTCACATCAAGCGTCTTCGAAGCAGGGGTTTTAGTACCAGAATCCTTGAAGTAATCAACAATTTTAGATTGAGGCTTCTGACTTGTGCCTTGAACTGTACGACCAGTGGACTGTTTGTCACTTGATAGAATGGGTAACTGAAGGCTCGCTGAAGATTGTTTCTGGGTGCTTGAACCTTTTTCGACCTTTATGCTCTTTTTATTGTTGCTAGCATTGGCTTTTAAATTGTCGTATGGGTATGCGTTTACACTCATGCCAGGAAGAATTGCAGCTTTCTTGGGACGATCGTGGGGTGACATCTTGAAGGATTTGTACTTCTGTGGTGATTGAATAGGGGTCTTGTTTATGTGAACCTGACTAGACCGCTGCGTTGCCGGACTCGTAACTCTCAGGATAGTAGACGGAGTCATAGCAGTGTTAGATATCCGGGTTGGCTCTTGGTTGAGTTGATCATCAAGCGCTAAATCGGTATCTTCATCTTCCTCTTCGCTCGTCGAGTCGGCAATTGTATGCTCCAACATTGCTCTTGGTGCTTTAGCAAATGACTGAGATAGAGATGGTTGAGATAAGGATGGCTGAGACAAAGAAGGCCGATGAGGATGTGAGGTAGTGGGTGAAACAACTTGAACTGACACCACTTTCCGAGGTCGTCCAGGTCCACGCTTCCCACTTGGTTGATCGGATACTGGCTTGGGTGCTGGTTTGAAAACACTCGCCATAGACTTAGGTCTGCCTCTCTTCTTCGGCATTCCTAAAGCCTGATACTGTTCGGCATCCTCCTCCTTGAGATCATCACGTGATTTTCCAGCTTTTTTCAATTCTCGCAATACTCTTGCTTTTTCTGATGCTATCAACCGAGGTTGAAGTTCTTTAATGAGACGGTTCTCTTCTGCGGTGCTTCGCTCATGCTCCCAGTTTTCCAAAGTATATTCCGATACATAATTGCGAATATTATTTGGGTGTACGATAATGCGATTATGTGGCTCTTGTTCGTAGCCCACTAGGAAGTGGCTAGGATTGTTTGGCTTCGGGTATGGAAAACAATCAAGAATAATTCCTTTTAATTCGTGAGGAGGAATGAGCGAAATTGGTTGAAGCGGTGGACCGCTATTTGGTTTATAAATCGGTCTTTCGACTACTCTGAAATCGAAGGCCAATTTTGATCTTGGTAAACACGTATCTTCCCCGGTGAAGTCTGAATTATTTTCGGAAGACATTGAGAAGTCTAATGGACAGACCGAAAAAATTATTCTTCAAGGAGACTCTTCTCTCCCCTTAGGGAAATTGATTCCGTTAAATAAATCGAAATTGTGTTGAAGAGAATTGAAGTTCAGATTGTTTTAGAGATCAGATTAACTTAATCTAAGATCAATAAAAACGTTAATCTTTCTACTTAATTTAGATTAATCTTCAACTTTCATTCAGAAATAAAGATAAAATTAAAAGGATTATCTTTATAAGAAGTCTCCTTAATTTTCAATAAAGAATAAATAAAGAATGAGTTTATATTCAATCTAAGAATAATTCAGATAGAAAAAATAAATCAATAAAGAAAAGAATTATAAACTTAAGTATAATAAGAAAAGGATTTATAATTGATTTAAATAAAAGTAATTTTATTAGTAATCTAAATAAGCTAATTAGTCTTTAATAAACGATATTCATATATAGTAGATTGTTTTTACTTGGAAAATTAAATTAAATTCATCAATTTTTTTATAGGATTTTTCTTTAAAAAAAATGCATCTTCCGATATAGTCTTTATTTTGTTATTATTTACTATTATATTAAATATCGAATATTTCACTTTAGTTTCAATTTTTAATAATTAATGATTATTTAATTGATCAAATGACTCTGAGATTGAAAGAGTAATAATACTTCTAAATAATTCGAGTAGTAAGTTCAGGGAGTCTTTCTTTACTTTTGAAAACGTAATGAAAATTATCTACTTTACTTTTATCGACTTTTAATCAGTCTGTTTACTTTATGTTCCTTCTCTACGATCTCTGATTACTAAAATGAACCATCATTGTCTTGGTACCTACCCAGCTAGTTTCAAGCTCTTGCTGCGCTAGCTCAAAATCCGTAAATAGTACCGCCGCCCTAAGAAACATAATAACCGGTTCGAACCCATCCATCGATATCAAAATACCAGGATCAACAACCAAGCTCTCAAGAAAGCTTTCAATTTTCGTCATCACCACAAAAACTCACCAGAAGTTGCAATCACCTCTCTCTATCAGAATGCTGTATTCAGCGCCAACATTAAGAACAGCAGCAGCTAGCTGCCGCATACAACCATCATTCCTCACGTCATGTACCTATCAAACTGCATCAACTACCCCTCTTCGCACTCCAGACACTCAAACCCCAAGCTCGCGACGTCGAGTTCTGGTTCCAAACTATAAACGCAATGTCACATTCCAATCCAGTACCTCTTCTACTCGTTCTGCATCCACAACTGCATCTTCCTCACCAACCAAAACCTCAAAGTCCAGCGCTGCGCAAACAGAAGTTCTAGATTGGAACACATTTTTCAAGCTCCGTCGAACCCGTCGCTGGTTCCAACTCGGTTCTTCTATCGGTACGGGATTTGGTGGTTTCGCAATTGGTGCGCAGATTCTTACACATACGGATATGGATGCACTGGTGGGACAAATTCCATTGGATCCATTCATTACATTGGGATTGGTAACATTCGCATGTGGAGGAGCTGGATGGTTGACCGGACCAATTCTGGGGACTGCGGCGTTCAATGTAAAGAACAGAAAGTTTAGACAACAAATGGATATTAAGGAGAAGGAGTTTTACGCGAGGGTTAAGAAGTATAGGGTGGATCCTAGTGCGAGTTCAATGGCGAATCCAGTGCCTGGTACGTTTGATTTGAGGTTCATGTGAAGAGGAAAATGAATGATTGAAGAATACTGCTAATTGATCTGTTTAGATTATTACGGCGAGAAAATTTCAAGTGTAGCCGGTTATAGGCAATGGTTGAAGGATCAAAGAGCTTTCAACAGGAAACGACAAACATACGTGTAGAACGCAGTCCAACTAGGAACGCATAGGAAAATGGTGGAAGGAATGGCGGGCTGTAATGATTATCGTTTTTCATGGCAAGCAAGGACATCAACTTAGCAAGCAGTTGTACGATTTTGGCGTTCATGGAACCACTCCTTATGGTGCTTCACATCATGCACTTTTCGCACACAATACCAACTCAAATATCAATCTCGCTCCTTCAAATATTCAAACGTCTTGATTTTGCCACTGAGTCTAGTATTCGGGCCAAGAGCTATCTACCTGTTCTTTCCAAGATCGTAAACCTCCTTTGATATCACCAATATATCTGTCGCCTTTGAGATCCAAACCCATTTCTTTCATCTTTTTTGTGACCACTTGAGAATCGTTGCCAAGCCTACAAACGACATATATAGGAGTTTTCGGGCTCAGACCATCGGTGAGCGTTGATAGTGGGCGATCTTTGTTGATTCTGTTGCCTTGAAATGATGAGAAAGGTATATTGTATGATCCCTCAATATTACAGATATCAAACTGCACTTTCTCTCGAACATCAATCAGCAAATGGCCTTTCTCTTTCCTCCTTATCGATTCTTCGTAATCTTTTGCCTCAACCCTCTCTTCATCACTCAACAATTTGACAGGATGCGTCATACCGCAAAATAAGACGTAATCCATAGAGCCAGACTTCAGCTGCTCAAGAGACAACTGAGATTCCTCTCCACAAGCGAAACAATTCAATCTTCTACCCTTCAAACGGACATTTCTGAATGGCGATGTTCCACTTGTAGAGAATAGTAACATTGTAGTAGGATTCGTCTTGGGGGTAGAACTCGTCTCTATACCTTCCCCAACGGCGGCCAATTTCCCAGATGCGATAAGTTTTATAGCTTCCAAAGCTTGTAAAACTCCCATTACACCTACAACGGGTCCGATAATTCCTCCATCGCCACAACTCGTCACGGCTTCGGGTGGAGGCGGTGTGGGAAAGACACAGCGGTAACATGGACCACCTGATAGATCGCCAGGAGGTAAGGCAGGATTGTTCAAAACTATTAACTGGCCATCTGTTCGGAGAGCTGAGGCTGAAACGAGTGGCTTTTGGAGAAGAACACATATATCTGAGATGAGATAACGGGATGTGGGATGGTCAGTACAGTCGAGAACTAAATCATAGTCTTTGACTATATCCTGTGCGTTTTGAGGCGTAAGATGTGTTTCGTAGATATTTGTCTTTACATTTGGATTCAAGCTAGAAGTTTGTTAATATGTATACTCGTCAACATTTTGAGGGAGGATCCTTACCCAGATATATATTTAGCAATACTGACAGCCTTATTAACACCCACTCGGTCTGTGCCATGCAATATTTGACGATGTAAGTTTGACTCTTCTACAGTATCTCCATCGACAATTCCAATGGTACCAACTCCAGCACCGGCGATATACGCAGCAGCCGGACATCCCAAGCCTCCAGCTCCTACTAGGAGAACAGAGGCCGATCTAAGGCGTAATTGCCCTAAATCATGATTAGTAGAGTATTCAAAAATTAAAGGATATCTCCAGAGATCCAACAACTAACCTTGAATACCAATATCAGGCACAATCATCTGTCTTCCATATCGTTTGTATTCTTCCAAACTCATGGGCCATTTGCTTTCGTCATGAGTCACGAGACCTTCTCTTTCTGTAACTTCAGGATCTTTTGAGTTGACCTCTTTCCCTTCGATACTCAATAATTGTAGTTTTAGGGAAGCAAGTTGAGTCTCGGCATCAGCTATTTGGCGCCGTAAAGCACTTGCCTTTTCCTCAGCGGAATTCATATCGGTTTCCTGTGGATGTGATTTTTATAGCGCGGGTGAGTAGGTAAATTATGAAAGTCGCTTCATAAAAATAGTTCAGACAACTTTTTTTATTCGCTAAGTTAACCTAGAACTTTGAGCTTTCAATGCACCAGTGAACATTTTTACCTCACTGACAACTTTCACCAATTTTCAAGCAATTTTTTCTGTAAAACTTCAAATTTCAAGAGATAATTAATTCGCGATCATGGTACGTCTGGAACAATATTTGTCTTTCCTGATTAAAGTCGCGAAACTAACTATTCTCACAGGCGCCCACCGCACCCAAAAAGCGAAATTCTTTGCGCGCGAAGGCTTCTCAGGCAGGCTCAGGTATCCACGTTCCACCTGTGCATCGCGAAGGTGCCGTTATATCAGATTCATTCATCGAGTCCAAGAAGGACAAACGAACGATTAAACATTCCGCCTTTGTCAACCGTATCGAAAAAGGCAATTCAAAACCTCTCAAGCGCAGACGTCCAAACAAGAAATTGGTTACCACATTAGAAAGTCTGGCAGATGCACTACCAGATTTCGAGGGAGAAGGCTTGGAGAAGATTAGCAGAGGAGAGAGTGGAAAGATCAAGCAAAAGAGTTTGAAGAGTCGACCTGGAGCAACGAAGAAGAGGGAGAAGTTGGAGGCTATGGAGAGGGAGAGATTTGGAAAGAATATGGCACAATTGGCGGGAGTTACGGAGGAGAAACCGAAAGACGTCACTGCTGCGGAGGGTCAAGAAGTACCAGCTGCTTCGGGGACTGCGAGTAGATGGGCCGCATTGAGAGGATTCATTTCACAAACCATGGAGCAGAAAGAGGAGTTCAAAAAGCCTTGATTCTTTTACTTTTTCCACCGGACATGGACATATTTTCTGTTTTGAGATACCCAATTACCACAAGTATGGTACGTGTTATTATTTTACTTTCTATCAATTTATAAACGATGGACCTAGAAGCCTGTTTTTTTTTTCACATGAAAGAATACCCACAGATACATCTCATGCAACTTGGCGGAGTAATATGTATCATTCGAGTGGATGAGAGGGTTCGGTATATCATGAATCGCGTATATGCACATTGCAGCCGACTGATGATACTGCCGATGTCACCCAAACATTGGCAAACATACAATCTTCTCCACCACCATCAAACTCTAGACCCTCCGAAACGTCTGACACAGGGAAACAACAGTGCTTTCCCGAATGATTCCGAAACTCTTTCTATGATAAACAATCACGTGAAACAACTGCCCCACCACCTTCCTGACGTCACTTGCTATACAAAAAGCAAACGGTACCTTCAGTGTTTTGACTCCCGTTCATAATTTAAAAGCTCAATTGGGATTCATAACTTCTCTAAACAATTCAACTTTTCACTATGACCATCTCTCCAGAATCTCTCTCACAAATCCCAGCGTCATTCGCCAGTGTCTCTGTTGGCACATCTTCAACCCCTCTTTCCTCTAAACTTTCTGCAATTTCTTCTGCAGGCTTCACAGCCATTGAACTTGGATTTCCTGATCTCCTTTCCTTCGCTTCGACCTTTCATCAAAAAGAAATTAAAGAAAATGACTACGATTCATTATGTTCAGCCGGAATCGAAGTCAAAAAACTATGCGAGAAGAATAATTTGAGAACAATGATGTTACAACCATTTTCGAACTTTGAAGGGTGGCCAAAGGAATCGAATGAGAGGAAAGATGCTTTTGAGCGGGCGAAGGGTTGGATTCGTATCATGGAGGCTGTGGGTACCGATATGCTGCAAGTGGGAAGTTCGGATTCGCCGGATATTTCGTCAGACTTTCATGTTTTGGCGGACGATTTGAGGGAGTTGTGTGATTTGCTCGCGGAACATAAGTTTCGTCTTGCTTATGAGAATTGGTAAGAAACCCTTCTTCCTCTCTTTTCCTTTTCCATCCCATCCCATTCTTTATCGACACAAGCTGACACTCCTCGCCTCTAGGTGCTGGGCAACCCACGCCCCCACCTGGGCCTCCGCCTGGGAAATCGTCAAACTAGTCGACCGCCCCAACATCGGTCTCTGTCTCGACACCTTCCAAACCGCCGGCGGCGAATACGGCGACCCAACCACCTCTTCAGGACTCATCTCGCATCTAGGAACCCAAGCAAAACTCCACATGAATTTCACCCAGTCCCTACAATCCCTCACCACCACCGTTCCCCCTGAAAAAATCTACCTCCTCCAGATCTCCGACGCGTATAAGCCGCCTGTACCTATCCCCACCACCCCTGCTGAAAAGGAAAAGGAAGAGCTGAGAGCGAGGGGTAAATGGAGTCATGATTTTAGACCATATCCATACAACGGGGGCTATCTACCTATAGTAGAAGTAGCAAGAGCGGTGCTCGGTACGGGATTTAGAGGATGGTTCAGTATGGAGGTTTTTGACGGGGGCGCGGATGGGAAATGGGAGGGAGTTGAGAAGATGGATTTAGAAGCGTTTTGTAAGGGAGCTATGGAGGGGCATAAAAAGCTGTTGGAGGAGTGTGGAAATCCTCCTAGTACGGTGAAGAAGCTTCTGGGTTAAAGAGGAAGCGAAGTTGACGAAGATGTTGGAAATATCAAAATTGTAAAAACAAAATATCGGTCGCACATGGTGCACCAGTGGGTGTACGGACTGACAGGACACTACAAAAATTGACTTTTGAATATCTCTTGATATATCAATTCATTTATCTTAGAAATTATTACAGTTATTCAGTAGAGAGAACAATCAAAGCATGAAATTTAATATCAAACAATTGAAGAATGAATATGTTTAAATTTTCAAAAGTCGAGGAATGTCCCTTCAATCCATGCACCCACTGATGGTGTCGTTCTAGACAACGTCATGCATGGAGTTACGTTCAAACATATACTTATTAGCGTTTCAATATTGTTTTGGTTGCAGGAAAACAACACGAACACCAAAACCATCATTCACCACCCGAAGTGAAACTGATTATCATGCTCAAATTTCATTGATTCCAGTAACGAGCCTGTGCTCTATCTCTCCTTTAATATGAAGAAGCCACTCCCAAGCAACCATTAACCCTAGCAAAAGTCTCGCCACTTCGTACAATTCGTACCATTACATGTCCCCCTGCCACCAAATTCACAATGCAAGTCTGAATTCATCGCTAGTGAAGCTCGCAACTCAACTCCCAAAGCATGTTTCATCCCCATTTGTCAGAACGCAAAACTCGTCTTGTGTGATTGTATAAAAATGAAATAGCATGCAATCATATCTCTTGTGCCTCGTATCGTATCGCTCATCTCGCTCATTATCCCAATGCAGCCATGTGGTAAATCCGTAACGCCTGATTTCTTGAAGTTGTATTCATGTATGCGTAGCTCAAGAATCGATTCGTGGAGGACTTCGATTACCCTTTTGGTAAGGGGATGAGCTGCGACTTTCATCTTGCCTGTAATTCTGTTAGGAGGAATCCATTCGGATTGCCCAAGTTGCGCAGCAGAAATGTTGAAGATGGTGGAAACTTACGATCTCCTTCTCTCTCCCTCCTTCCTGTAACCTTCAATAATTCTCAGCATCTCCTTTCTAGCTCCACCCGAATCCACAAGCTTTCCTCCCATACTCATAGAAACCTTCTCCTTCGCGTTCGCGCACAACAATCTCTTCAACAACAAATGGCGCATGATAATACACACGTAAACTCCACAATCACTTCCATTTTGCTGTTGTGGAGTATCCTGCAGATTTAGAAATCTCAACTGGCGACCCAATAACTGACCTAGTTTGTAAGTCGTCGTATTCGCTTCTTCATAATTCGAGGGCGAGAGAGAATCATAATGGAATGCTACGCCGTCGATAACGGATACGAGGAGGAGTGTCCAGTGGGATCCACCTTCTGCTTGGGAAACATTGCGATTATCGTTTATGGGAAGGAAGATGTGAGTGGTGAGACGAAAGTCTGGAAGAGCGGACCTGAGTAGGACTGGGTTTTCGTGCATTCGTAGCATATATGCCATGGAGGGGCGGAGTAGGACGATATTGGAAGAGGGGTATCTCTTGAGGTATTCGTTCTCGAGATATCTGTTTGAAGGGAATGTTTAGTAGTGGCTTTTGTAAAGGCAACTATCTGCAAAAAGTGGAATGAAGTTAACGTACTCCTGCCAGAAGGCTATCGTCTGTCAAAGAGTGCGTCAGTGATGATTTCGGAGGGAGGATAATAGAGTGAAAGTATACATTATCCGTGAGCCAGTCATCCTTCAACGTATTAACGTCTTCTCTTGTCACTGTTATCGCCATAGTTTAGTCTGCCAGTTCGTGGTGTCTTTTTCAGAATTATTGAGAAAACCTACATCGTACATCGTAATCTGGAAAGTGAGTATTAGCAATATGCCGCAGCAACCCCACAGCGACGCAAAAGCGACCATGAAAAGGCAAACTCACAACTCAGATATGCATCTTCAGGAGAAAGCTACAATGATTGCGTTTGTCAGTTCCAGGTTGCGCATTGCTTTATTGCTGCGACTGCCCTTCCGCCGGAGTCACCAATTGACAAGCAGAGTTCGCATGTGCTTGATACATACCGAATTGCCCATATGCTTGGATAATCTGCCACCAAATGGGTGGAAACCACTTCCTTGTGGCATAGCTCTTTCTTTCTATTCTAGTTTGAAAGTATTCTTTTCTTATTTTTTGCTTCAAATGCAGGTGGCCGTATGGTTGCCCTTTATTGTAGGACGAAAAGACTTTTTGGGCTTCGGAACGCGGGGAAATCGGATTCTTCGAGGATAGATAGGTATGTCGCTAGCCAAGTATTGATAAAAACAATGGGAAAAAACAAACAGAGGTAAGAACTGAAGTCGATGATTCCTAATGAACCTTGCGACCTGGAAAATTTTCAGATTGTCGTCGTAAGTTTTGTGAGTATTGATTGAGTAAAACGTTCTGGAATCTGGGCTGCTGCGGTTGTGGGGGGAGATGGGCAATCGTCATCCCTTGTTAGTGTTCCTTTTCAAAGATGCACCGACATGGTCATTTTTTGGGGGTTGGCCGAATGACTACCTAGTACTTGGATAGATGTATGCAAATACGTATACATGTCCTAGCACAAGAGTTCTGCAGATAGATCACATCAAATTATCGACGTCTCAATCATATTTATTATTATCATAGCAATCTTATGTATCATTTAAAGCTAATACTTAGGTCTCTAAACAATTATGTGGTATCCTTCAACCTTTCGGTCCCCACAGCTCATAGACTACTCCACTAGGCAAACAAGACGAGAAGCTACCGAAAGCCTAATTTGAAATCTGCGCACCACCCCCCATCATTCTCAAACATAGAATGAGAGAGCAAATCAAGCATTGGTTTACTGTATTATGAATCCGATATGCGTCTCCCTTCCTTCAATTCTCTTTGTATGAACTCTTGTCTCTCCTGCCACTTTCCATCAACATCACCTATAGGAGAAGTTTTGATATCCTTTTCGATTTGCTTCACGGCTTTCCCAGCTTCAGAATACATTCGAATCAATTCTGTCTTCTTGTTTTCGATTTGTTGGCGTATATTGAGCTTCTCCACATCTCGCTTGCTACTCAAATCCTCAAGCATACTCGTGGCGTTCTCCTTGTATTGACGAACGACCAGCTCTGATGCATCTTCTTCATCAGTCAATCTAATCACCATCTCCTAAATCTCAGTGTCAGCTATTCCAGTCATCAATATTGAATCATACAGTAAGTTAGACTTACATCGGCAATTTTATGAACAGTATCTGCATATCCCTTGTAATGTGGTCTGACAGCCTTTGACCATCGACTATGGGGAGATAGTCGTTGTCTTGGAATGTTTGAGGAACCACCCGAT